GAAAGACTCCACTGCTGTTGAGTGCTTGGCTCTCAGCATCTGAGCCATCGAGGGTACGCCAAACACCTTTGTATCCACTTCAGTTCCCTCTGTCTCACTGGTTCTGTTGGATAAGGTGCAATATAAGGTTCTTACGGTTTCAGAATATTTGGGGGAAGCTTTATTTCAAAATCTACAATGTATTTTCCGTCATCAGAAGATACCCGCAAACCAAACAAGGCCATAATTTTATCTAAGACCTTCTTAAGATGTACATTAGAATAGTATCCTAAGCCTAAACACTAAAATTTTGACTTTTTTTTTTTTAAGATTTTATTTATTTATTTGACAGAGAGAAACACAGCGAGAGAGGGAACACAAGTAGGGGGAGTGGGAGAGGGAGAAGCAGGCTTCCCGCTGAGCAGAGAGCCCGCCACGGGGCTCAATCCCAGGACCCTGGGATCATGACCTGAGCCGAAGGCAGACGCTTAACGACTGAGCCACCCAGGCGCCCCTAAAATTTTAACTTTCAGATTGCAAATCTTATGGAGAATACAGATCCTATTCTCATGAAATCTCCTCTGTGATAACATTATATATTTTTTAAAAGATTTATTTATTTATTTGAGAGAGAGAGAGCTCATGCACGAATAGGAGGGGTAGAGGGGGAGAGAGAGAGAGAGAGAGAGAATCCCAAGCAGACTCCCTGCTGAGCACAGAGCCCAACATGGGGATCCATCTCAGGACCCTGAGATCACGACCTGAGCTGAAACCAAGAGTCAGAAGCTTAGCCAACTGAGCCACCCAGGCTCCCCTGTGATAACATTGAAAAAAATCTGAGTAACAGAACAGCCTATGTGTCTGTTGAGGGATGGATGGGTAAAGAAGATGTGAAAGAGATGTAGATATTTAGCAATGAAGAAGAAAGAAATCCTGTCATTTGCAACAACATAGACGGACCCTAGGGCATGCTAAGTCAAATAAGCCAGATAGAGAAAGACAGATAGATAATACATGTTATCACTTATATGTGGAATCTCAAAAACAAAGTGAAACTCATAGAAACCAACTAGAAAAGTGGTTGTGAGGGGCTGAAGGGTGGAGGAAATAGGGAGAGGTTGGTAAAAGGGCGCGAACTTTCAGCTATAAAGTGAATGAAGTCTGAGGATCTAATGTATAACATGGTGACTATAGTTGATAACACTGTACTGTATACTTGAAATTTTCTAAGAGAGTAGAACTTAAATGTTCTTACAAAAACAAACAAACAAACAACAAAAAACCACACCAAACCCAAAAACCAACGATAAATATGTGAGTGAGGTGACAGATGTATTAATTAGAGGGAGGGACTCGTTTCATAGTATAGATGTATATCAGATCATCATGATGTACATCTTACTGTTTTGTCAATTATATCTTAATGAAGCTGAAAAAAAAAAAATCTGAATAGCAAACACCCTGGTTCCTAGAGCATAATTAATGAGGTAGTGTTTGAAATGGGAATATGGCAACAATTGTTTCTACAGAAAAACTCTTCCTTAGGGTGAGGTCTACAATAGCTAGTTAGAGTAACCTTAACTAGTTGGCCAGCTAGAATGGAACTTTGCAATCTTCACGTACACTGTGGTTTTGAAAAGATCACTCTCTCTCAGCACACGAATATGATGGACCCGGTCACATTTTCTTCTGCGTCCACCTTTGTATAAGTTAGCATTTTACAGCCTACAAGAATATGTGTGGTAGTAAAATTATAAAATGTTTGCGTTTTCTACTCAGTTAAAGAAGTGTTTTAAAGTGGTCTGTGTAATTAATAATAGTGATTACCATAATAATAACTAACATCTATCAAGAGCTTGTTATAAGCCAGGCAGTGTTGTAAGCACTTTACTTAAATGATTTTCTCCTTTACCCTGTCTTGTAGTTCTAGAAGGTATTTCTGTTACTCCGTTTTACAGATGGAGAAGCTGAGGCTCTAGGTTAACTTCCCGTGTTACCTAGTTAGCGTGTGGCAGAGCCAGAATTTGCACCTGGACAGTGTGATTCCAGAGCCTGTACCCCCCCCACACACTGACCAGTCCTGTTGCTCACAGACAGACTACTCACCCATCTGCTTAAATTTTGAGGCAGCTGGTGTATTAATATGTCATCTGGGCCTGCTTGCAGGAAGAAGACACCACTCTAGTGTTTTCATTCGTTTACTAAAGGGAATTGAGTGCTTACAAAATCACTGGAAAGGCCAGGAGGAATGGGCTCCAGGCTGGGCCTGCAGAAATCATTCCCAGAACCAGACTGCCAAACAGGGCCCCCAGGGGAGGGGATCAGGAGGCCACCACTGGTAGGGCTGTGTTCCAGATGACATCGCTAGTGCAGTTCAAGCGTCAAGAAATTGCTTCCCTGAAACTGCCCCTCAACACCCACCAACTGGGGATGGTTGTCTCCACCACACTTGTCTCTGAACAGCCATGAAGCTCTGGACCCTGAAAGGCTGCTACAGGAAAATCCAGTGTTTCCATAAATGTACTGGCCAGCATTAATGCCTAAGCAGCAGAAAGATGGTCCCCGCCTCCTTTCGGTCTCTCAAATCTCACAGAAGAACATCTGATGGATGGACCCTATTTCACGTGGGGAAACTTAACCGTAAAGGAGTCTGGGAAATGTATTTTTAAATTTTCCAAAAGAAATTTAGAAAGGATGCTGAAGGTTAATACACCAACTACCATCTGCTAGGGTAGGGGTGCCTGGCTGGCTCAGTCAGTACAGCGAGCATGCGACTCTTGATCTCAGGGTGGCGAGTTCAAGCCCCGGGTTGGGTGCGGAGCCTACTTAAAAAATTTTTGTTTTTTAAAAATATCTGCTAGGGTAGAAGGCGGTGGTTATCCCTAAAAATGACATGTCAACAGTATGTAAAAACTACTTGGGGCACAGACTATGTTCAGAAATCAGTTTTCTAAAAAAGCCACAGAAAGTTTGCCTGCCACTATACGGACCCCAGTACTAGTTAGTGTGCTGCTAAGTACCATTGTTGAAGTAGTAAGGCTAAAGCTCTCACAGTAAGTACCCTTTCCTGAGTGCCCTCCTAGCTCACTGGGGCTAGGTGATAGATGAGCTTTTAGTGTCACAAGGAGTTGTTCTCAAAAACTATTAATTTTTGGGATGCCTGGGTGGCTCAGTCGGTTAAGCGTCTGCCTTCGGCTCAGGTCATGATCCCAGGGTCCTGGGATCGAGTCCCACATCGGGCTCCCTGCTCAGCGGGGAGCCTGCTTCTCCCTCTCCCTCTGCTGCTCCCCCTGCTTGTGCTTTCTCTCTGAGACAAATGAAAATTTCAAAAATTATTAATTTTATTCCCCCAATTACAGTTTTCTGCTCAAAAATTTTTGTAAGCCTCTAGGCAGCAATGTTTTGAATAGTTTAAGTTGCCAGAATCCAGACCTCCTCACGAGTGGGTAGTTGATCCAATCATTTTACTAGTTTGAATATATTTGAACAGCTCTCCTTTCTCTGGTGGTGTTTTCAGGATACTCATTTAAAAATTATTTGTTTGTTTTCTTCTTTCTCCTTGCCTGTATTTTCTAAATTTTCTGTAAGTATATAATACTTTTATAATCAGAAAAAAAAAATACATATTATCTTAAAAAGTGATTCCATTACGTTAGCCAAGAAATTTTTGGTGAGACTTCTTAGCTTAATTGATTGGTTTAAAAGGCATCAAATTCATTTCCCACCGCCTGTGGACATAAAGCCTCACACTCTTTTTGATTAATAAAACTTCATGGTCAATGAAGAAAATAGTCAAATGGATTTTTTTTGGCAATTAAAAAGTTTTGGAATAGAGTAAAAACTGAAAAATTGTTAATGAGTTGTTACAGCTGGTATTATGAATTGTGGCACACTCTGGTACAATCTGGCAAATTGAATAAGTTATAAAAGATCTGGGTGACTACAGTAGGGCTTTCTGAACATATGTGGTAGGATTTTTTTTTTCCCCCTCTTCCTGCAACCATGTAGTTTTTAAGAAATACTGAATTTTTCAAGTTGAATCTTGCAAGTTCTTCTGTTTGGTTTTCTTGCAAATCATATTAATGTGACTTGCAAGAAAAGGGTGATAAGACGTGTTGCTTTTGTGGTACCTCATCTGCTGGTCTGCCTTTGAACAGCTGTTGTCTTAAGTTTATTTTATCGTCAAAGTTAAAAAGTATGTCTGCTTACAATTTGCCGTAATCCATTTTAATACCAGAAATCACTTCTTGCAGATTTTCATATTAAGGTTTCAGTTAAAAATAAGCAAATCTATTTATTTCTGTTAATTCATCATCTGTGCCGATTATCTATTTTTGCCTGCTAAAAAGTGATACCTGATTAGTGCTGCCGTGTGGTTTATTTAAATAAGTAGCTATTAAGTACCTTAGCAGATGTTTCTGTCTCTCATTACAAAAGTACATTATAAATAGCTCTTTGCTCTCTCTACAGGACAATCCTTCATATACAGAGTGTGTTTGACTTGGAATCTTCCCTTTTTTACTCCACTCAATTGACTTAGCAGGGTTTCAAGAGCAGCGTTCGTAAATTTTCAGGTATGAGCCATTTTAATTCTTGATATTATATATAACTTAAATATATAGATAGAAAGTAGAGTTTTGCAGTTAAAGATTTTACATATCAGAGTATGGATTTATTGCTTGAACAGTTACTATATAAAACATTCAGCATTCTGATTTTCTTGGCCAGGTCTCCCTGTTCACTTATTGCTAAATTTTTAATTCATTGCCTCTCTTGTGTATGTATCTCTTCCATTCTACCTTAATCAAAGATTCATATGACATAAGAGCTAGAGATGATCTAGACCAGTCCCCTCAATTTGCAGAGAAGGAAATGAAGCCTAGAAAGGTAAAGGTAAAGTCCGTGGACATAGAGCTAATGGAATGGTAGAGCTAGTGTCAGATCTCCCAGCACGTCCCCTGACAGTTGTGTAGGAGGATAGCTCAGCAATTACGTCCTGCAGCTTAGGAGTCACTGTCTTGGTTAATACCCTTTTCTGTCCAATGGGGAGAATAGTACCACCTACCCGATAGGTTGTGGTGTGTGAAGATTAAAGAAGACAATATATATTGCTACTATTATTATTGTTCCTGGCCCTTTTTCTCATTGGATTGATCCCTTCACTGCTTCTTGAAACTCCCCAGCTTGGCTAATGGTCACCATGCTCTCCTGATTCTCCCTCTGAGTCTCTATAGCACTGGCTTCTCTTCCCCATCTTGCTCCACAGTCGAGGGAAGTCCTCTAGGTTCTCATCTCAGCCCGTGCTTCTGGTGAGCCCCTCCATCTCTCTTGGCAGATATCTTTCACTTCTCTGTCTTCAGGTCTGACTTACCCTCTGAACTTCAGATCAGCATTTCCAGTGGCCCTGTGGCCGTTGCTACCTGATTTCCCACTCACCTCACACATGATGTACTTAAAACCAAAGTCATTCCTTTCCCCCAAACCAGTTTCTCCTCCTGACTTCCTAGTTTCTGTTAGTGATACCACCAAACACCTAAGCTTTACAAATCGTCGTGTTCTCTTTTTTCTTTTTCTTTTTTTTAAAGATTTTATTTATTTGACAGAGAGAGCACAAGCAGAGGGAGAGAGAGGGAGAAGCGGGCTCCCTGCTGAGCAAGGAGCCCGATGTGGGACTCGATCCCAGGACCCTGGGATCATGACCTGGGCCGAAGGCAGCTGCTTAACCGACTGAGCCACCCAGGCGCCCCCATCGTGTTCTCTTTATAGCTCTCTAGCCTTCCACAGCCGATGACAAATTGTGGTACCCTGTAGTACAATCTGGCAAATTAAATAAGTTACAAAATATCTGAGTGACTGCAGTGAGGCTTTCTGAACATATGTAGTAGGGTTTTTCAATCAGCCATCAAGACCCATGGATTTAATTCCCATTCAGGTGTTTTGCATCTTTTCCTTCCTTCCCATTCCTGCCATCCTCGTGGCGTTCAGGCCATTAACCAGACCGACAGTTGCAAATAGAGTCGCTGTTCATTTGCCTGGAAGTGGCTGGGTTCCTTTTCTCTCTTTCTCTCCCCCAAGAAATACAGTCTCTTGACTTTGCATAATGGAATGTTAACTTGTTGCTTGTTCATTTAGCACATGAATCTTGACTTAAGTAAAGACACAGAATATCATTATTCTGGCAGCTTCCAAAATATTTTAATTACAACCTAGATCTGGCTAACTGGGAGACTCATTAATATTGTACCCACTTGTTTGACAAACTTTAAAAATTTTTATTTTTGAATATATTTTTATTATTTGGAACTCAAAATATTTAAAAGTATACCATGCGAAGTCCCCATCCCATTCTTGTTTCCTGTCTCCCGGAGCCCATCTCGCTTCCAGCTCGAAGCCACTGTTCTGTTTCTTGTTAATCTGGTTCAGAGTTCCTGCTTATTTTTTTTCCCTATGGATATATCTATATATGCACTCTATTCCTTGCTTTTTTAAAAACTTAACTATGTATCATAGCTATCTTTCCCTATAACTATCCCCTCTTCATGGACATTTTTCTGATCCTTCACTATCACAAACAGTTCTTTAGTGAATAACCATGTACGTGTATCATTCTGATCATGTACAAGTGAAGCTGTAGGATAAACTCCCAGAAGTGAAATTGCTTGGTCAGAAAATATATGCATTCGTAATTTTGAGAGCTGTTGCCAATTTGACCTCCGTGGGGTCATACTAATTTATATTTCTACCAGGAATGATTGAGGGTACCTGTTTTCCCACATTCTTTTTAAGATTTTATTTATTTATTTATTTTAGAGAAAGAGAGAGCAAGCGCACATGGGTGGGGGGAGGGGCAGAAGGGGAGGGAGAATCCTAAGCAGATTCCCCACTGAGTGCGAAGTCCCATGCGGGTCTCGATCTCACAACCCATGAGATTGTGACCTGAGTGGAAATCACGAGTCAGATGCTCAACCAACTGAGCCACCCAGGCGCCCCTGTTTTCCCACGTTCTTATCAATATTATCACATTTTTGGATTTTTCCTACCTTGAGAGGGGAAAAATGATACATCAATTGTGGTTTTAATGTGCGTTTATACTTTTATGACCAAGGTTAAACATACTTTTCATATGATAAGGGACATTTGTGTTTCTTTTCCTGGGAACTGTCCCTTGTCTCATATTGTCGTAGGGTTATTGTTATGTGACTTGCCAATTTCTTGGAAGCTCGGTGGAGTGACCCTTTTCTCTGATAGATTTTTTGCCACGTTGTCATATGTCTTTTGCCTTTGCTTGTGGTATGTTTTGGCCATGCAGGATTATGTTTCATCTTTCTGTAATCAAATGTATCAGCCTTTTATTTTATGGCTTCTGCATTTTGAGCCCCAGGCCTTTCCCACTCTGAGTTTATAGAGTCTCCCATATTTTCTCTTAGAACTTCTATGGCTTTATGTTCACACTTCAATCTTTGATCCATATGGAATTTATCCTGGTATGAGAATAGGAAGTGTAAATCCAGCTTAATTTTTTTTTTCTGGAAAGCTAAAATTGCCTCAGTGCCCCTTGTTAAACTGCTCATTTTTTTCACCACAGGTTCATCATATATTAAATTCCCACCAATACTGGAGCATATGTCTGGATTTTCAAATATACTCCATGGCCTTTTTCTTTATCACCAGCATCACGGTTTTAATTACTGAGGAAGTATAATTCAATAGATGTTGGTGCTAATTCCTTCTCTTTGTTCTTCTTTTTCATAATTCAACTAGCCATTCTTGTTTATTTATTTTTCCATAAAACTTTAGCAGCAACTTGTATTGATCTTAAAATAACCTGCTGGTGTTTTTATTATGGTCATGTTATTATAACATATTTTAGGAAGAACTGACACCCAATATGTTGAATTTTCTAATTCAAAAGTCTTGGCTTTCCATAGTCTCCTCTTATGTCACTTAGTTTTCTTCATATGAGTCTTATGTGCTTCTTGTTAAATTTATTCCCAGGTATTTTATAATTTTGGTGCTATTGTAAATGGGAGGCTTTTATTCCATTATATCTCTTACCTAATGTGGGTTTTTTTTGTATATATGAAAGTTACTGATTTCTAATACTCATTCTATAACCTCTTTCCCCCGCTTCTTGTTTGTGGTCATTTTGCAGTCGAATCTCTTGCATTTTCCAGGTGTACAATCATATTAGCTGCAAATGATGATAATTTTACCTCCTACTTTCCAGCGGTCCTTTTACTAGTTTCTTTCTCAAATTAATTGCCTTGGCTAATGCCTCTAGAACAGTGTTAAGTAATCGTGGTATTAGTGGTCACCCTTGTTCTGTTGTTGACTTTACTGGAATGTTCTATTCAGATGCTAGGTTTTAGACTGAAATAGACATATTTTATCACCAACAAGCTTTTATTGAGAGCAAGTTATAGACCAGACTCTGTATCATAAAATAGAGATTAAAAAAAGAAAATGAGTATGACTCTACCTGGCTTTAAAGAGTTTACAGGAAAAGACAGATACACAAATTAGTGTTATAGATGTCGCAGTAAAGTTATGTAGAGTATAGTGGAGGCATGAGAAAGGCTGATAGCTCATCAGCTTGAGCCCCATGTCAAGATCAAATTCCAAAGAACAAGATACTAAAGCCTATTATTAGTTCGCATTGGAGTGCTTTCATTAAATTCATTATAGGATGTCCTTGACTTTGGAGGCAACATATAGGGAAAGTCATGTAAAGAACCTTTGTTAGTTCAGTAAGGACACTGGTGAGGATATTGATCGAGTGCCTCCAACATTCCAAACATTAAACTAAGGCCAGGCTTACACATGGACGTAGTCTATACTCATATGGATATTGCAGTGTCACAGGGAAACATATGTTAAAATAGACAGATGCAGTCCAGCAATTGCCACAAAGTACACGTATATAGTACAGTATGTAGGAAATCGAAGCTAACATTAGCCCAGGGAAGTCAAGGAAAGTTTCCCAAGGGAGGCGCTGTTTGAGCTGACTCTGAAGGAGAAGCAAGAGCTTCTCAGATTGAGAAGGATGGTTTTACTATAGCACAGGAACAACATGGACAAAAGGTTGGCGGCATGAAGGGTACCATGTGCCCGGGAATTGGCATCGTACCTAAGGACGGGAGGCGAGGTAGGTGGTAGAAGATGAGCATGCAGAGATTGGCAGAAGCAGGGTCCCAGAGAGTATTAAATCCGGTCATATAAATAGGGACTTTATCCAGTAGGCAGGAAGGAGCTATTAAAGAATTTTAAGCAGCAGAATCCAGAAAGATAACATACTTCAGGGTGGATTGAAGGGAGAAAGATAAAAGGCCAGGAGACCAATTAGGACGTTTATTGTATTTGTTCAAATATTCTCTCTGATGACATTTAGCATCCTCATATAAGGATTCATGTAACAAATTCCTCCTAGAAGTTAGTGCCAGCAAAATGCTCATTTTTACTGGGGAAATGATGTGAGCACTATATAAATCATTCGTTTCCCTGTTTTTTGTTTTTGCCTTGGATTCCAAGACAAATGGTGTTAAATGTAAATGTACAGAAATCATCTCACCTCCAT